TGATATAAGTATCATTCATCAGTGGGCAAAAAAATTGCTCAAGAATCAATAAAACTGCATGAAAATCCCATGGGAATTGGATATGAAGTTGATCGAAGTTTAGGAACAGATAAACATGTTTTTAGCATTTTAGGACCTCATTTAGGACATTATTATGGTGATATTATTATTGTCTTTAAAAAACAAATAATGTTTCATTCTGATACCAATTTTTCCATTCAAGCTGGAACTAGTTTTGATCCTAGCGGAAATGCTTACAAACATCGTCCGTGGTTGAAAGATTCAGGTAATGCAGACAACCGTGTTAGAAACTTTCATAATTCGAAATTACATTGTTCTATTCCTCGTTATGAATATGCCGCAGCTACATAATTAATGGCTTTAACTAGTAAAAATAAACAATCAACAGATGTTACTCTTACGGATATTGTTGATCGATAGATGAAAGTAGACTCACATGAAGTATTTGAAGAACATTTACCACAACTTATTCCATTAGATTATATTGAATATGTGTTTATGCTCAAAAATCTATTTCAATCATTGACTCCGGAAGCTCAACAATCAGCCAAGGGAGCTTTTAAAGACTCCCTCTTAATTTAATTAAACCAGGCAGTATGATGCCGTTAGATGCGACTCGTCAACCTTATCAAAAGTTTGTACTTGATAAAATATTTAAAATAATTGAACAAAGACTCAATGAGTCACAAATCACACATGACATTGCCGTTACAATTCCAGCCTCAAAATTCGAAGAGCTGATTGTTTTACCAATAACTATTTCTCAATCAAATACATTATATTGTCTTGATAAAGCTCAAACATCAAATAATCCTGAATTGACTTGTATTTATTGGCAAGCTATGAATGGTGATATGATGTTAACAATATCCAATGAAGAGATAAGTCCAGACAAAGATCCATCTAATCTTCAATGTCTCATATGTTATGTTGCTGCAAAATCATCGACAGCTACAGACGATTTTCATCAAGTCTATTCATATTTAAATTATGGTAGTCCATATCAACATGAAACTAATGTTCATACAAATCAATTTAAAGCTAAATCAAATGTATTCTATCGTGGTTGTAATACTGATGACTTTTTTACGTTTTGTTTGAAAATTAGTCACAAAACAGGAGAAGTAATCTTATCCCATGCTGGTCCGAATGGTATTTACAATCATGAAAAGATTCAATATCGATTTGGTAAATCTGAAATCGATTTATCAAGAATAGATTTTATTTATGTAAGTGCAGGAAATTAAGATGTTCCTATTCGTAATTTAATGATTAATCATGAACCCATGCCTGAGTTGCATCCATCATTTGATAAAGATTTTAAAATAGATACTTCTACTGTTGCTACACATATTAATGATGGCACTCCTAAATCAAATATAAAACGGGCAGCATCTTCATTTCAACTGCCAACCAAAACAGAAAATGTATCTGTTTTCAAAAGAATAAAGAACGCTTTATTTTGTTCTTCTATAAACGTTAATGCATCGATATCCAATTCACCAAGATCTAATCCACCAATACCCAAGTCAACGACATTACAGGCGTCATCAAAGGTTTCATCAAAATTACCTCCTTGTCGTGATTCTGTGTATTGTCTGAATCAAAACTCGAAAGATCATATTAACAACTATTCCCATCCTTGCCGTTTTAATGAACTATGTCGAAATAAGGATAGTGAACCTCATCTTGTTCACAAACGTCATAATGTTCCTAAATGCTCAGAAGATGAAAATTGTTCCCAACTAATAGATCCTGTACATCGTGCACAATATCGTCATTCAAATTTACCTGATTATCTTATTCCATGTCGTTATCAAGACAATTGCTATGAAAAGTCCCCGAGTCATCGAAAAAAATATTTTCATGGTGAAACATTACCTTCAATTAAAAGTAAATTCTTAAAACGATGTGTAGCTATTGATACAAAAATATCTGTTTGAAACCTTTTTAGAAAACAATACATTAACAAAAATGCATTCCGGAGATGCAGCAAAAACTCATTTAACTCCATGTAGATATGGGAATCAATGTCGAGTGATGAATAACCAAGAACATATATCGAAATATTCACATCCTAATTCTTAATTGTTTCTATTTGAATGGCTAATAAACAAATATATCTAGTTACCCATTCGACATCTTAGTTTACTATTCCTTCTTTAAATAAAACCTATTAATTAACGTGTTGTTTTTAAGTTTTATTATTAAGAAATCCGAAATTCTAATGAATTTAACGTCTAAGACTTTAAAAAAAATATATAAATTGAATAGAAGTGAGAATAAGCATTATTCTTTTCTTGAATAAATCTATAATCAAACAAAAACAAAATCTTTCGTTGGTAAATTTTATTCTAATATTAATAATAAAGAAGAGAGACTCCAATTATCTTTTACTATAAAAAGCAACAAAGTCAAAGTACAAAATGTTTATGGTTGGTTTATATTAATTACAATTGCTGAATACATTTCGATTTGAATAATATTTTTTGTAAATGTTAAAATCTAAGGAAATACTTTTGGATCTCTCTTCTAAAAGATATCATCAAGAAGTCAGAATAGACTATGACAGTCATTCTATCGAAACAAAAGTCTATCGTATTTATGTTAACTAATGACACAAATTGAAATGATCAGTTAATATGTAAAGTAAACGAAAGTATATCAGTAAGAATGTCTTTTGTTTTTTTGAATAAACAGTACATCAAACAATCACTCATACCAGATTATGCAAGGATAATATAAAAGTTGTGTTATGTTTTAAATCCATAGGAATTTCTCTATCTTGTTCTTTATATATTTCTTTTTATAAAGATAAAGTAAGCACTGTTCAATCAAACCGGATCAAATTATAGTCAATTAATAAAGCCATAAAAATTAACCTTTTCAAATAAAGTTTTGATGTTTTATGAAACTTGATTGCTAATGAAGCTAAAGCATGTAATGAAACAAGAGGACACAATAACTAATTTATGGCCAAAGTAACTCCATCTTATTACAGTTTGGACCCGTTGGATTATAAGATCTTACGTTTGATTATTTGTCCTGGGCACATCGATCACAAAAATAACTAATGAAATTATCTTTTTTTTGTAATCTTTTACAAAATTTAGAAAAATAAATCTAGAAAACAAAAGACTTCAGAAGAGTCTCTCTGTGAGAATGTAGTGAAATAAACTCTATTTTCTTGTAATTCAGTGAATTTGACTCATTTTATAAAAATTTAGAAAACGAAGTATGTTTACTTAACAAACTAAATAGTATCGATCAGTTTGAGTAGAGAAAATTAGACATGGCTGACGAGGTACATTAAACTGATCTGGCTTTCACTCTTTTATAACTATACAGAAATGGCTAAGATATCCTAAGACATAATTTAATTCCGTTAGCTTCACAACTACATACACATACATATATAATGTATCAAATAAGGAAGTAATACATGTGATGTGAGATAATCCTTCATTTAGGCAACATGAGACTTAATGAAGTTCTGACATATGTGATGAAAAATCATTCTTATGATTGATGTAAAAAATTTATGCGAGAAGAAATTTTGAGTAGGAAAATTTGAATGATCAAGAAGATTAAGAGAAAACACAACGAATTTCTCACAATATGACTGTTTAACAAGAGTAACATGTAAATAAAGGACTTTGATAAATTTCGTCCCCCTTTGTATCTTATTTTTGTGCTGGATGTATTTGAAAATGGATGTATATTGATCATATGTATTCGAAGAGTAGCACATAAACTACTATTGAAGAGAAATTGAGTTAAATTTACATCAACTCCAAAAAATACTATCAAAGTTATTTTTTCGACATGGCCGAAAATTACAGTATTTCATTTTTACGTCTTCAGTGAGCTATATCTCTGAGGTGATAGAGAAATGTTTTAACTATAATATTATGATACGCTGAATGTGCAAGATTATTGGTAACATGCCATCCCACTTCAGTATTTACAACGTTGTGATCATTGGATTGATAAAGTGTTAGGCTTCATTGTGATTGTAAGTTTTCCTATAAATTCGCTAGTAAAGCTATAAGAACTTGTCATCAGACAAAAGCATATGCGCAAAATGTAGCTCTCTGTCTTAGGTGTGATTATCCATTTTTTATTACAAATGACTTAACTTCTCAACGACTAAACTATATTGACTCAAAACATTGGTTCCATTTTGCAAGTTCTCCAGTAACTATTGGCATTCATGCACATGCATATTTCATAGTTATTAGATGATTGTTATATCCTGAATTTTTGATTCACATACATGTCATGTAAAAGACAAATCTTGTGTGAAGACGTAGTATTTTGCGAGCACTTACACGTGTTTCTTTCATAGTTATGAGTGACTAGATAAGACAATAAAACCTTTTTTTGTCACTATCAACATCGAGAAAATCATTTATGTGACACAGTATATAATACATTTCATCATTCATGCTCGATGTCAGTAGTCAGCAAAGCAAAGATATTCATAGTACAACAAACAAAGAGAGAAAGAATTAAATCAATAAAAATAGAATAATCTGCATCTAAATATACACAACATTCAACTAGATGTCAGAGTCAGTGAGGAAAAATTTTCGTTTTTCTCTTTTTCGGCATTGAGTTGTTTATGAGCCAAGAATATATACAGCCGGCGAACACATCACCGAAACAGATCGATCGATAGATACACTAAAGAACAGAATCCAATTGAGTATAGCAGGAGAGTGAGATGAGACGCTGCTATGATGACGGAAAATCGTGTAGTAAATGGGATCAAGTACAAAAGAAGAAGAAGGACAAAATCAATCGAGAACTATCCAATGAGTATACTGCAAATAGACTGGCACCATATACCAATTCTGAGATAGATAAATGTGGATTCCATATGTATCGTGTCATTCAATGAAATGGATACTGTTCCCGCATTATCGAATTCGACAACTCTCTGAAATGTCTTGATGAGATGGCTTCATTAGAAGGTCCTATGGCCATCTACTCTTGCTTGCATATAGAATTTTCGGTTCAAATTTATGTGATATACTTACCTTTCATAAAAATACAAAAGTCGTTAGAACGAAAAACTTGGCGTACTTTCATGGCAGAGAACAGCGAAGTAAGTGACAAATGTCGAAAAATTTGATTGATGTCTCTCTCATTACATAAACAAAGCAATGAAAATAAAATAATTCACTTTTGTAAGTCACCGGACACAGTAGAAATATCGATGCAACATTGTTTTATTTTCAACTTAACGGAGTGTTCACGGAAAAATATAAGTGACATAGGGTACATCTTCAATCTCATTTCCTTGGAGATCATCACAGCCTATTTCGAGAATAAGTGAACGAACGTGATCTACAATTTTTTTTGTTCGTCAATCTTTCGTGTACTTCCGATATTCTTGAAAAAAAACAATAAGTTATACACATTAGTTAATTCAATATTAATCTTCCTACTTTCGTTTCATATCTTGCGTCCTGTTCTATTGCTTGAGGAGCAAACTACAATATATGAGGACTTTGCCAGCACTTATTATGGTGGGCCATAGTTGGTATTCTTTCTACAAATAAACGATCAAAAGAAATCTAAGAATCAGATTATATCTAAATAGATGACTACTTACTTTGAAATATTCAATAAACTCTTCTGTGTCATATCACCTTGCACTTCAAATCTGTCCCACAATGTGAATTCATGATCGAGATACTACAAAAACCATGAGGTGCCTAGTTTGTGAAATAATTACAAAGAGCATACGTACCTGTTGTCTTTTAGACGACAGGGGTTCATAAAACATGAAGAAGGGCAAAGCCATGTTGACAGAAGAATTTTTGAAGTATTCAATATTCTTGTGTCCTTGTGCAAACTTGTACGTTTCGAGAGACATTAATCTAGCAACCGCGGCAGTAGTAGTCACAATCACTGAAATAATCCTACCAGCGATACGCTTTACTTCGATTCGTTCAACTGTTTCGATGCCATAATTTTCTGCACGCAGATTAGTGACAGCTACATGATAGTCTAATTGAAAGTTAAAATCATCCTCTAGTTTCAAGTCATGTGGTTGAACTTTTAAATTGAGTAATTCGTCAACTTTGGGCAGCTGAGAAAGAATAGCATCAATTTTGGACACGGTTTCACCTTCAAATCCACCACATGTATTAGACTTTAAATCATCATCATCATCATTTGTAACAGTAGTTTTCACTTGGAATTTAATCATTGGATTTTGATTGAATTGTTGAATAATCTCATGTCGATCAACAATCTTCGAAATATCATAAACATAGGCTATCAAGTTCGATGCCGCCACAATAAAATCAAGATGAGTTTTGTTGCTTGAATCAGATTGAAGTACATATGGACACATTTTATGTTCGATCCAAAACCGTTGACCAGTGTGAGTCACATGATCAGGAGGAAAATGAGCGAGTAATCGAGCAATATTATTATGAAATTGTTCTTCAAAAAGATCATGCATCAAATTCAATTTTGGCTCGAATAAGCGATTGTGAGTATTTGAAATATTTTGTAAATCTGATTTATGTTGAAACGAAGAATTGATTAACAAGTCAAGACAAGTTATCAACCTATGATTGATTTGTAAGTCCAATAGTACCGTTTCAGTTGCAAAATTTGCAAAACCAATAGTGTCATAATTAAAGTTTCGATATCATTATTAGAGAGGAATATTTTTAGTTACCGAGAACCAATGAATTTCTGTACTACGGACTTTAAAATAATAAACTTATAAGCCTTGAACGATATTCGTAGCAAATATTTCAAATATTTAGTGTTATAATCGCCATCGACTATACTTAAGATATTCTGTGGAGTTCTTAGTTGTTACAAACTGGAAAAACATCACTTTCAAGGTGATGAGGCAGAAAATAGTAGTTTAGTGTATACAGCTGTTGTCAAGAAAAGCTTTTGATGATTAAAACTTGAAATATAAACTGAGCCCCGGAAGTCTACTAAAAGATGAACATTATATGTTGTCATTATGCAGAGGAAAATGGTCACTTTCTCAAATAGACTTCACTAGTTTCTGAACCTTGAGACATTGCAACATCATATCCTCCAAAAGATTTTTCAATAGATATGACTATAATCTTCGTATCACTCGGAATCACATCCACACTCGCACAATATATCGAGTGTCAGAGTAGCAGTGTTCTTTTCATAAAAAGATAATATAGTTGAAAATGCAATGCCTCTATATCAAAAAACGTTTTTGGATGATCAGGTCCAAGAATACCGTTGATCTTATCGATCATTTCAGTCGCGTAATCTTTAGAATAACCTTTTGATATCTGCTCCGCGAATTCTTTCCGATCACGCATATACTTATTGGCCTGTTTCAGAGACTCTATAAATAAGGCCACAAAGCTGTTGCGTGCCCAATCGATGACATCTTCGATTACATTAGAAAAATTGACTATTTTGCCCATAGGCACCGACCGTTCAGGTGGATCATCTGTTGAATTATAGGATTCTGTTAACATAGGTACAACAACTTGAACATTGGATTTCACTCCTGATGCTTCGCTAACAATCAATGGCTTGCGGTAGTATACACAGCGATGATCAAGATATTTATCTTGAAAAATTTGATGGAAATGGTTTTATAATCACTTAGCAAAAAACTTGTCATCAAAGATATGTTCAGTTTCTGAGTCGACACGATCAACAAATGCATGAATATTGACGGATGATTTCCATGTTGACATAACCTTTGCTACTGTATTTGATTTCATATGCTAGAAAAAGAGCTGAACAAGGCTTTCAGTAATACAAAAACGACATACTCCAATATTCCATGGACGAAATCAGTGACATAGATGACTCCTTCTTTCTCACATCCGATACCCATCATACAAAAGTTCTTGAGCACTTCACAGCCAATAGCACCAGCGCCCACCTAGTTAGTTTTCGAAACAGCAATTAACAATTATTTTGAACGCAAGTTTTCGAATATACCAAAAAGCATTTTGATATGCTCAGTTGATGTTGAAAGTCTTGACCAACAATTATCTCTTGTGAATAATAGCGCGATACTTTGTTCAATTGTTGTGAAAACAAATTGGATTCCCATTCACCTAATTGATTCCTATCTATGTTAACTGTCGTTGCCGAAAATTGAAACACATTTTCGGGTAAACATTCAATAGCATCAAAATAGAAGAATTGTTTGATTGGCATGAATTTTCCGGTAACCGCCTAGCAATACGAGATAAAATCATATGACATATTCAATACAATATTGTGTGAAATATGATTAGTGTTCAACCGTATTAGAAGCATGATCTAGAAAATTTTCTTAATGATTTCCGGGTGATGCTGAGTATCGAAAAAAAATCTCTAAACTATTTGGCTATTTAAAAGAGGACTTTTGGAGATCATTGAAACAGAAAATATGTTATATGCATGTTGAAGTTAATCTGATATGAAGGAAATCCTTTCAAAAAAACTCTAAATTAGGGATAAATGTTAATAGAAGAAGGACATACTTTGATTATTTCTTGAGTGGTAATGCCACCAATGATAGTTTGTATTGGACATTGTTTATTCAGTTCTTCAGTGAGCGGTTCATTGGACACTATTGTATTGATTTGGCATGCCAATTCATAAAATATCTCGGCATCAATCTTTCAATGGAAATCATTTGAAATGGAATGAAAGAAAACTCAAAGATATATTCACGTCATTCCATGGTTTTGGTGCAGTATTGTATTTTTGTTTGAATTGGAAGAAAGCTTGAAATGCCAGGGAAGATTGACTGACATAGAACTTGTAGGAACCTCATGAAAAAGAAGTCAACTTGCTCTATTTAAATACGTTCATTGAAAACAAAAAAAATATGCATACTTAATACAGTTATTTTGAATTCTTTCCCATTCACTTCGCTCATACCTTTTACATTCGAAAAAGTAACGTATGAACCATTTTCCAAGCCATGTCATTCATAGGACAAGATAGAAACAACACCTTTTTCATCCTAGACAGAGTGAACGTATGTATGTATGAACGAAAACCCAAACTTTCTAAACGTACATGACTAATACCAGTCACAATGTGCACAATTGGTTTTTCACCATTATTGTCCAACACTTGAAAATTCTCCCCAAAATCACAGAATATTTGCCTATAACATAAGATATGTGTAAACACTAGAACTATCATATTTAATTAAGTTGATTAGGATTTTGATTTTCTTTCTCAGAGGTGAAGAGTGGAGATAAGTGAAACTATATTGACCAAATTGACGGGATTTTGAACAAGACCAAGATTGGTGTGGACAAGTTTGTCTTATTAAATCCATGTTTTGATTGAGGGACATGAACGAACTGATAAATTATCTGTATTATTTCCTTCGAAAAAAAAAAGCCAACTCTAAACGTTCTATAACGGACATCTATAAAATAAGACTGCGTCATATCAAAACAAATGACATTGAAATCATCTTCGTTGCTCTTAATAGCTTCACTCCTGCTAGGATGTACTAGAAATTAGCAATCTTGCTCATGTTTAATGAAAAACATAAATTATTCGCAAAAGATTTGCTTAAATCTTCATAGAAATTAAAACTAATGCCAATAGCGTGGCAGAAAAAGAGCAGCAAAATGGTCTCCAATGCGTCTCACTTTTCAACTTCCAAATGGCAAATTCATCGACAAAATAGAAAAATATTTTTGGAATGTCAGTTTAAAATCTGAAATCAGTTCGACAAAGTTGAACTTTTAAAATGGCAAGAAAAACTATTCCTATCATTTTGTTTTAATAATGACTTAACAAAAAGAACTACCGTTTGACTTATGAGTGTTCCAGATATTGCCAAAATGCTACGAAATACATGTCTTTTATCAACAGAAATTATTCGTATGATGTTTTCGGTTTCTAAAACGATCGAAAAGTCCAATAGCAGTATCAGTAAAGAGAGCAAAGAACGAGCGATATTTTCGTCCAAGCCAAGGTCATATCTTCATCAAATTACGTGCAACGTCGCACAAGAAAGCGTACTGTGGATACATTTCGATGTTTTTGTGATTCTTTAACGAAGTTTCATTCTATCTCATTTGGAGACCTAGTCGCATTGAAATTTATATTTAGTGCATGATTGTTAGATATTTTGTAACAATGACATAGTGATAATCTACGAATAATTTTACCAAAAAACCAACCATTTTTCTTGGAAGGAGATAAAAGCTTTGAAATCTAAATCTTCATACTCTATCGAGCCAGCTTATTCTCTTACAAAATAAGAGGCAATCCTGTATGGCCGTTTCTTAATCATTATGAATAAAAAAATCTAATTTTTTACATGCTAAAGGATAGTTTAGATAGTGTCGTAATATATCTAAAAAATGTGCAAATTACCCGAATAATCCTTTGGTATTAGCGATTAGAAATTTGATCTGATTCCTATGGCAATAGTCACCAATCGTTAGCTGCTCGTCGTTCATGGCATCAGTAAGCACAAGTGTCTACGTTAGTTAATAAAGATATCATAATCAATTGTCTATATATGTGAACGACTCACGTTGATACTACTAGACTGAATAACGGATTCTGTCAGTGAATCAGATGAATATATGACATGAACACTGGTGTTCAATTCCCGTAGTTTAGTATAGATGATTTGAGCACGATTTTTACCAATATCTTCTTCCGTGAAATAGAACTAGTTAGAGAAAAGAGATATTTCTCTGATTAATCAAAATAATTTATTTTGCGATACTTGTGTGGAAAGATCGGTGTAGGTAACATTATGACAATCTTGAATAATCACTGATTTGACACCACACAAAATAATATTTTTCGCTATCTCAATCCCAAGATGGCTCAAACCAGATATGAGCACATGGGCATTAGCCAATTTATGCATTACTTCTTTGCCTAGTACATATCTAAACGAAAAAATGTTGTTTCTAAACATTTTGTTTTTCTCGAAACATGTTTTTCATACGCAATAGAACGACAAAAATAACTTACAACTCTCGAGAATAGAGATTTTCATCAATATCAGACATTTTTATCGATTATTTCTTATTGAATATACCAATCAATGTTTGAAATGATGAAAAGCTTATTATTTAGATGCTGAATTCAAATGTATACTAAATGAAATATTCCTTCTTTATATATACTTTTTTCTTGCTCACATGTTCGGACTTACTTGCTGTTGAGTAAGTACTATAGACAAGGTAAAATACGAAAAGAAAGAGAATGAATGAAGAAAACAAAATGTGTTCTTACCCATATACTTCAATCGAACATAAGTTCTATCCATCAATTGCATTCAAATGCACGCTTTACGAACATAATGCAAAAGTTAGATCAAAGTGTGGATGTATTTATAGGTGACGAAAAACATAGATATAATAAACAAGAAGCGTTGCATCGATTCAAAATGGCGAACCTCTTTTTTAAATGAATCATTAAATGAAAGGTTAGGTATTTCATCAATGTGATGATCCTTTTGATACTAATCTAGGTGTGAGTGTGGGTGCGGGTGTCGGTGTCTTATCATCATCCGCACCCACACCCGCACCCACCCACACTCACACTCTATTTTAGAATAGGGTTTCTTTCATGTATTAAAATAGTTTACAATAAATAGAAACTTTTCTATTTTATGAAGGAAGAAAATTTGAATTTTTTAGATATAAGTTTTAATTTAGTTTGAAAACCTTTTTCTCTTTATCTTAATTCATCTGAAATGCTGAAGGAGATTCGATAAAGATAAAATTTAAGAATGAAAAATTCTATTAATCAAGTTATGAAACAACTATTTCACTTATACTTTCGACTGTTAATCTGACATTTTACACATAATTTTATGATAAACTAAAAGTTTCATAGGTTTTTTCAAAATCTCGAAATAATTCTATATATTTAATTGTGATCGTCAATCCGTTTTTTTTGAGAGAAATGAAAATAGCTTATTCGTTAATAGTTTTTTTTCAGTTCATCAAACGTTTTTCCCTCATGATCCAAATCAAGAATTAATTCCATCTCGTCTATTAAAGAAAAACTAGACACAAACATTTATCGAAGTGAGTATTTCGTCTTTTGAGTACTTAACAAAATGTTCTTTTGTCCTTAACGAAGAAGCGCACAAGTATTTACTTGCAAAAGTACACTCTTCAGATCTATATACTACCGGCAAGCCATTTACTACAAATAATGATGATGGATCGGTCTACAATGACGAGCACAGCATTCAATGACTAATGGAGTCCGTCGAGTCAGGGTCTAACCCCATAGTTGTTACTCTAAAAGTAATACTCTGTTATGTCCACATTCTTACATGATCACTGACAAGATGGTCATGAAAAATATGTAGATTGTTGACGATATTATGAATAAGAATTAGGTTCGGGTCCAAAACTTTTTGACTTGATGGATTCAACTAACACGAGGAATATACGAAAGATGCGCACGGAACGTGAGATGAGGGTTTGAAAATAACACGGACCGATCAAAGTCATTATACTCACACCATCATTTATCACTCTCAGAATTGCCATGTGCATCTGTCGGTATCCAAAAACAAATATACCAAACGTTTCATTTCCATTATAATGTTTATTCTTGATCCATACTTGCAAAAAAACTATACTGCAGTGATTATAAAATGTAGAAAAAACTGTATGTCATTGATAAATGTTGTTGTCAAATAGAAAATGATTGAACTGTTATTTCACTAAAAAGAGGATCAATGATTACAGAATTCTATTAGAAACATACTTGTATAAAAAGATTTTGATACCACGGCAAAAAAACCTATTTTAAACACAACCGCGAAAACATTCTTGTAAAATAAAGCATTTTATTCATCAAATAGATAACCAAATTTCATTTTCATCAGTATTTTTGATTATTCTCGTAAAGTTGAAAGTATATTAATATTCTTTCAGATCAACAGATGATTTTTATTGAGAAATACATCAAAACCTTTTCTTATAGATACCGATGAAGAAATTTCTGTACTCAATATAGAATGTTGAACAAATAAAATTTTCTACAGCTATCACGGCTGAAAATGACAAGATTAGACATAATTAAATATTCATAGCATGAAACAATTGAGAAAGAGAAAACTAAAAAAAAATGCCATTTTATTCATTTAATGTTGATTTCGATTGTAATTATTTCAATAAAGTCAGACGCCATCTAACTGGTATCAATAATAATATGTTGCAGTTATTTACATGTATTTACAATAGTTATTCAATAAGGAAATAAGTAAACTTGAATAAAACAATCGTACATCAAAAAATTTTAAAGAAATGCAATATAATTTAATTTTACATGTATAACTGAAATTTTCGTTCTTTTTGAGTACGGTCATGATTAGCACAGAAGACATCATCTGTAACATGAGTTAACATTTATTCATAACAAACGAGAACTGATGAAAAGAACTAAAACAACAAAAATTAAATTAAACTGCATTTCTTTAAAATTTTTTGATATACTATTGTTTTATTCAAGATCGTAAAATCTTGAGTAGGTTTTAAATGGCCAGTTATTAGTTCTCATGGTTATGTTTATATGAATTTATTTACTCGTTGTGCATAGTAACACAATTTTTTGTTGTTTTAATTTCTTTTAATCAGTTATTGTTGGTTAGGAATCAAAATGTGTATCAGTCAAATGAATAAAAAAACTTAGAAATATATGAAAAAGTAGCATGTCGCGATATCACAAGTGTATTGATATTATCTGTATTATTTTTACATTTAAAACTTTTACTACATTTTTTCAATACTCTGTGTAGAAAATAGCAATGCAATATTACTATTTGTTCACTGTTGGCAATGTCTTTATCAATTCTGATATGAGCTTAGTAATGAGTGTCAAATTTATGTAAGTTAAAAACAAATATAATGATCAAATTAAGTATTGATGATATCATCTTTCTCTATTCAAACAAATACATCAAGCATACGATTCAATTATCGTGTTTTTTTTTATTTTTGAATTTCGAAAGTAAGAAAGATTCATGTCTTCAATATCTTCACCAGTTTTAGCTAAGAAACTATGAGTGATTCTTCTCATTATTTGCCAACTATATGCAAAGAAAAAAAAAATTGAATATGATTTCTTGATGAATCGTAGAAATTAATAAAAGAAGAGCAGCTAATATAACACAAGAAAACAAAATTTCTTTTTATTATACATATAATACGAATGAATAAAAATCAAGAATTACTCTAGCAAGATTGTGAGTGACGATCAATTCACTCTATACATGACAAAACTTAAGTTTTTGGGTGTTTCTAGATGCAATTTGGATGATAACTGATATAAAACTTTTGCTTGTTTATTGTTATACTAATATGTAAAATCTACATTTAAGTGTTCCATTCATTTTAAATTGGTGATAATTACTTCGATCTTTCATAATTTTCAAATTTCAATAACAGTATATTTGCCCAGTAGAAATCGTTATTTAACTATTACCTCAATTAAAATTGAAATTATATTTTTTCTTGTTTCGTTCACATTATCAGCATGTCAATCATATGCATAATGAGAAAAAAAACCACACTAACGCTGTCCTTGCTGTCGTTTTCGTTCTTGTTGGAGAAAATGAAACAAAATGATACAACGTATAAGACAAGGTATCTAATGCAATGAAACTCAAGTCACGCTTCACATGACACATAAATGAAAGTGGGAAAAAATTATCATACGATCAATGATGTTATTGGTTTTTTTCCCTTTAATTTATTTTTGATAACCATACCTTCAATTACTAATAGGCATATTTTGTTATTGAGTGTCAACGAAAAAACAAAATATTCATATTTGACGTCAGAGAAAAATCTAGAAAAAAAAACAACGTGCATCAAATGTATAAATACAAAAGGTAAACTCTGTCAAAACAGCCATTTACTATTCAAAACACGCAACTACCTATCGCACACGAAATAGTACATAAAAAATGAGTCAACAACCAAGACGACGCCTTCCTGAAAACTACATGGTTATTTGGGTTGATGGAAATATGGATATGATCAATAAAGATTGCCACAATACACTTGCGCAATTGCGCGGTGTTGTAAATCAAGTCATACCTTGTACGACAGCTGAAGAATGTGTTCAACAGCTGAATGAAAATCCTGAAGAGATATCATTTGTTATCTCCTCAGGTGCACTTGGACAACATCTGGTACCAAGCATCCATGGCATGGCAAAATTAAATGCTATATTCATATTTTGTCGTAAGAAAGAACATCATCAAGTATGGGCCCAAAATTGGCCGAAAATCAAAGGTGTTCACACAACAATCAAACATATTTGTGAAAAATTGGCCATAGCAATCAAACAATACAATCAAGATCATATATCGGTGAGCATTGTTAGTGTGAATGCGGGAGGTTCTAGCAAGAATATAGATCAGCTAGAACCTTCTTTTATGTATTCGCAAATATTCAAGGAAATACTCCTTGACATAGCACATTGTCATCAAGAGTTTGAAGACTTGATTATGTTTTGCCGAAACGAATACAAAGACAATACCCAGGAGATGAAGAATATTGCAGATTTTGAAAACACGTATCACGCAACAAAAGCCCTTTGGTGGTATACAAGACAGTGTTTTACATACAAAATGTTGAATGGTGCATTAAGAACACTGAACGGCGACATTATGATACGAATGGGTTTCTTTTTATGTGATGTGCATCGACAAATTGAAGCTCTGTACAAGAATCAGGTCAGCCAATATCATAACAAGATTTTTACAATCTTTCGAGGGCAAGGCCTATCGAAAGTAGATTTTGAAAAGCTCGCAGAAAACAAAGGTGGGCTTATTTCTTTTAACAACTTTTTATCCACCAGCACAAATTCAGATGTCTCCCTCGTTTTCGCCAAGGGAGCATTAAAAATGACCGATATGGTCGGCATTCTATTCCAAATAACCATTGATCCTAAAGTTTCATCAACTCCATTCGCCTCCATTCGAGAGGAAAGTTACTTCAAGGATGAAGAAGAAATTCTCTTCTCCATGCACACCGTCTTTCGCATTGGTGAAGTGCGAAAAATTGAAAACAATCGTGCACTTTATCAGGTGGATCTAGAACTTACGTCGGATAATGACCCACAACTTCGAGAATTAACTGACTACATGCGAAAAGACGTCAGCGGCACCGGATGGCGTCGAATGGGTCAATTGTTACTCAGAATAGGTCAATTCGACAAGGCCGAACAACTATATATGGCACTACTGGAAGAGGCATCGGACGATAGTGATAGAGCACACATCTATCACCACCTTGGAGTGATGAAAGGAAGCCAAGGACAATACAAAGAAGCAGTTGCATTTTACGAACAATCTCTGAAAATCAAGCAGAAAACTCTTCCGAAAGATCATCCTTCATTCGCTCCTACGTACAACAACATCGCTGGAGAGTATGATCACATGGGTGACTACTCGAAAGCACTTGAATTTTACGAAAAATCACATGAAATCTTCGAAAAAGCTCTCCCTTCGAATCATCCCTCATTGGCTACTTCGTACAACAACATCGGTCAAGTGTATAACAATATGGGTGACTACTCGAAAGCACTTGAATTTTACGAAAAATCACATCAAATCGGCGAAAAAGCTCTGCCTTCGAATCATCCCTCATTGGCTACTTCGTACAACAACATCGGTCAAGCGTATAACAATATGGGTGACTACTCGAAAGCACTTGAATTTTACGAAAAATCACATCAAATCTTGGAAAAAGCTCTGCCTTCGAATCATCCCCATTTGGCTGCTTCGTACAACAACATCGGTGGAGTGTACAGCGACATGGGTGA